CGTCCCCACAAGGGGGGGGGGGGGGGGGGGGGGGGAAGCAGCAGCATTTCTATAATCCCTAAACTCCACCATTCTTTGAGAAAGGCAACTGCACCATGCAATGAGGACTCAAATCAGGCTAAAAGTAAGAAATGAGCAACCTGGCTTATTCCAAATGTTTTTTGTTTGTAAGGCTGTGGATGTGGAAAAACACTGTAGATATGCTGTGGTGATGAGGAGTTGTTTTTAATCCTGTATGGCCTGTGATAACAAGTTATTTCTCCAACCACCATGACCTAATGTATGTGGAAAAAATAATCAAAGAAAATACCTTAGGAAACCTGCATACTGTTGTCTTCCCAAAGGTCTAACAACTGGGTGACCTCTTTTCTTCCTCCTCCAAAACCAAGTTCAGTGCGCCCTGCAGCATGCTACCCAGTAGTTAGACATTGAGATTACTTTACTCAAGAGCTCCTAGACTTCATCTCTTCCCCTCTTTGCTTTCGCCTCTTGCAGTTATTTTCTCCTCTCATTCGCTCCAAGTGCTCTTAATTACACTGGTATTTGTACTAATCTTAGTCTAGCTGTTACACAAAGAACAAGCAGAATTTGTAGAGAAAGACAGCACAGTCTCAGAAACATGTGGATGAGTTTTGTGACACACTTTTCAGGTGGGTCTGAAATGGCAAGCTATGGATGGATTTGTGGCTACACTAGTCTTAGCTGTAATAATTAACTTCAGCTAAAATTCCAAATTTACTTGTTAGTTAAAATACAATAGATGAGTAATTGGTATTTGGAACAAAGAAGGATTATCAGGAAGTTAAATTGGATTAATAATGTAACTTGCAAATGTATCTACTGACCCTATTAATGTAACCTCCGTCAGAAGAGTATCCTCAGCCAAAGCCTAATGGCTGTCTGGTCTGTTAGGGAGCTCCTGATGGGAATTAAGTTGTAGCCAGCACTGGCATTATGGACAAGTAACATTTTGCTGTAAGCTCCCTGTAACTGGGCAAACCTGTCCCTGCACCCTTTCCAGCCACCCTCCTGAAGGTGTTTCTCAGTGGGAAGGACACTGAGTGTCCCTGCAGAGTGTGTAGCTGTTCATAAAGTCCTGTCAAATGCACCGAGGCAGAATAAAATCAGGCATCCTTCTACCTTCTAGATGAGTGCTATTTCTTTTACAACTGATTTTCCTAGATAGTTATTTTACACTGCAGGCCATCACCTTGACATCTGCATCCACCACATCTGCATCCTGTTCCTTTCACAGTAAGGGCACAATATAAAATCTTAATTCTGGTATACTCAACTTCCTCAGTGGAAGAATCCACCTTCCAGGCACAGCATCTCTTCCCAGCTCTTTAGACTATTCCCTGTGGTGCTCTTCAAAGCCATTTTCTGAGAGTGGTTACCCTTACCGTACAACTTAAATCATCCATTTAGAAGCATTTCTCTAGCTCTTCCAGTGGTGGGAAAAAGTTGAATACAAGGAAATCTTGCTGACTATGCTGCTTTGAAATGTACAGTTCAGGGAGCTTCTTAAAAATGTGTTATACTCTGAATTTATGAACCAACTGTCAATTTCTCTTAAACAAAATAATGTGTAAATGGAAATAACAGCTCTGAAAAGAATTTGGTGGTGTTAGCAGCAGGCCAAAGTGACTGGTTTATCAATGGAAGGAAGAAAGACAAAGAGTTATAGGGTAAATACTGGTTATTGCATGCAGTTTCAATCATATCTTAGCACTTTACATCAAAACCCACAGGGTGTGTATATGCGTGTGTATACATACATACACACATAATGTTTTATCTTCTGGCTTCTCACATACCTCTTCTTCACAAAGAGACACTTGAATACAAGGTCTCCAAGATCCCTGAACATGCCACATCTTTCACTTTATTTTCACTTTATGTTTTCAAACTAAATACCAATATAAATATCCATGATGTTATTTTACATACAGACTCATTTTATATGCTTACTTTTAAGATGACCAAAGAATAGGCATTGGTCAACTTAGAGCACAGAAAGCAGACCATCAAGTAATTTCTAACTACTTGTATAATCGGTATTTTCCACTGCATCTTCAAAACATACATCACTTTACATCACTAGACTTCAAGATCTTTAACCAGCTTGTTAGTGGGAGGATTTCTGCCTTAATAAATATGAGGAAACCAAATTGATAACGCAGCAGCAAGTGGGCTTCCTATTTTGCTGACACGATTGGAATAGTATCAAGTTCTACAGTAGCTTTGTTTCTGAAGCCAAGTCTCAGCACTTCCTACTAACCAAAAATACTCAAGGCAAACTACATACTGAAAAGCAAACCAATGCTGAACAGGCCAAGCTCCTGCTGTCAATAACAATGTGGTAGCATGGAAGCAGAGCAATGAACTTTTTTTACCCTGTAGCAGACTTGAGCCCTTACCTAAATGGACCACCTAGTCTTTCTGCTGACATACATGTGGCCATGAAAAACACCAACTTAAAAGGGTCAAGACAGCTCACATATGGCTTTGGTAAAATGCAGGCAACCTAGCTAAATGCCGTTCCTAGGTGTTCCTCTCCTGCAAGCAACCAGACTCTTAATAATGTAGTTTGCTTAAGCTAAGCACAGATCCATAGTTAGTCTTTGGGCCTCCCACAGAGTGGTGTAAGGTTTAAGTACTGCAAACAACCCACTGAATAAAGCCAAGAAATACAACTCCAAGCCAAGAACTTGGGATGGGCCAGGAATAAGTTTCTATTTACGGTACCAGGCTGGGAGGGACAGAACGGGACAAGATTTCATACTCTGTGACAAAATTGCATCACGAACAGCTCACATCATATAAAAAGAAATCTTTCAAGGCAAGCTGGTAGCACTGTCTTGCCTCAATTATCAAAATATATCTGAAATAGAAAAGTGATCTTCAGTACCAGAGAGAAACATATGGAGAAATCTAAAAGTTCTCCATACAGTTCACCTCTTAAATGCAAATTTAATCTGCAACATGACAAACTGCTGCTTGAGGTATTCCTCTGCACTTATTCTAAAGTTAAAGTGGTAGGTCACCTAGAAGACATTATTTTTGGCTAGCTTGATATAAAAATCCAAGGGAAAACAAGGTTTGGTATTTTGGTGTCAATTTCAAATTGGTAGGAGAGACAGATTGATCTCAACTAGTTATGCCAGTATTATGAAGAATTCAAGACATTGTCTACCTGAACATAACAAGAGGTTAGCTATGTTAAGATTAAAACAAAATGATGCTGATAGAAGGAACTGCCTGTCTTCTGTTTCACTGATTCCACTTACCTTCTTCCTTTGTTATTAGTACTATCAAACATTCAGAGGTATCCCTCACCCTGCTTCCTTGCTCAGATGTCAGTGGCACATAGTTATACCACTTCTCCCAATATTTCTCCCAATATATGCTAATGCAGCACTTACCTATTTTTTCTCAACTTCTTCCTGGTAAAGTAGTATCTTTTTGGTACAGAACCCAGAATGAAATAAATCGAGCTTAAGGTCCAAAGTATTAGTTTGAAAATCTTCATTCAATGCAAGATGCATAAATCTCTTCACAGATCAACAACTGTATAGGCTGTGACTGATCCTTGCATTTGGTAGCACTGCTGTTTTAAGAGAGCTTTTCAAAGTAGATTAAGTATTGATCATCTTTGGTACAAACACTGCTAACTCAGTATACTGTCTCTCATTACCTCTAAGATTTTCTGGCCTCACAAAGTTTTGGCAGGAAAGGGACTCTGGGATAAACGCAGCTAGCAAAATGATGCAGGTTCTTAGATGCATTTAAAAAACACTGTTGGGTGAGGAACTCATGTGAGCACAGGAGAGCTGGACCTAGCAGTTATTAAAAAGAACAACAGATGCTTTCTGTCACAGGTACTGGGAATGGTCAGAAGCACTAGAATCCACTCAAAGTACCAATTCTACTTCTCTGAACGTGTCTCTAGATGAGGAACCAAAACCCATCAGCACAACAGATAATAAGAAAAACACTTTCCTCAAGTGCAGGAGAGATTTTAATGAAATTAAAATGATATACAAACAGGATTTTAGAACAAAAAGCTACAAATGTAACCTCTCTGCAAAATCCTGAAGACTATAAAAATATTTGTTACCTTAATTACTAAGGATTTGTTCAGCTCCTACAAAGTTAGTCAGCTTTGCAATTGCTGGTATCTAGAAACAAGCAGAGACCACCAACTTTTGATGCTCTGCGTTACACACCTCTTTCCATTGAGTACTGAGGTGATGAAGTTCCAACCTTTGTCCCTCTGAATCTGCCTATAGTGGACAGTAACTATTCCCACAGTTTAAGGGAAAGGAGTACTAGTAAGGGACACAGGAGAAACACAACTGGGAAACTGCACACATGTAGATCAAAAGTCTATTCCTCTGTCATGGTAAGTTCCAATAAACCTCTCCAGTATGAAGAGTAAAGAGGATTAAGTCACCCAGTCCTTCACAAGGAAAGGTGGGATGGCCAAACATTATGACACCTTACAGCAAGTCCTTTGGCACTTTTTTAAATCAGTACTTTGGAAGAGAAGTTGCTTAATGTGGATTACACTTCATTCCAACAGAATTCCTGGGAATTTGTTAATAATGGCCAGATCAAAGTGAAGATATTTCTAAGCAAATCAAATTAACAGCTATTTACTCACAGTGTTAAGACAAACATTTGAAGTAAGAGCTATTCTGCAAAGAGACTACTTCAAAAATCATGGCTCAACCAACCCCTAAGCAAGCCAGAAATATCTACACTAACAAAGTCTAGCTGGTGAGAGGTTTATTTTGCAGATGTAAAGCACCATCAGACCTTTAAGTTAACATGACATAAATGTCCAAGCTGCTTTCCAAGTGACATAGTTACAACTTATTACAAGTTTTACAGTATTCGGTACTCTCCTTAGACTCAGCACCTGGTACAATGACCACATTAAACTGCTTCTCAGCTGGCTTTTTGAAAATTATTTTAGCCTTTCTAGTTAGAGGGAAAACTTGGAAGAGGGTAGAGACTAACTCACTGACTTGTAATCTCAGGAGTGAAAGAAAACGTCAATCGAACAGCCCAAATTTGAGTTGATGTCACATCTTGAGGCCCAAGTTATTATTTTTGCAAGTGCCTTGGACAGGCAGCACTGCTTACCTTCTGGAGGATATTCGGAGGGCAGAGCTCCCCAGGTGAGCTGATAAAGCTTCAGTTTCCAGTACATGAGTTTAATTTTCTAATGGAATCCCAAAATGCTTGTTAGCACAGATGCGACTTCTCAGTTCCATCCACCTACACTGAATACGCAGCAACTGCCAAAGCTACACAGTACTTCTGTTTTAAAAAAAAAAATCTCTAGCTAAAAATAAATCATAAAACTGTCAACCTCATTTGTCAGCAATCAATATGCTCTTCAAGCCATTGTCCACAGCCATTTCCTTCTCTTGCGCAAAGAAGGGGTTTCCTTCTTAAAATATTTACTTCATTTGACTAAAATACTTTTGTGATCTTGCCTCCTTTGAAATATATTTGTCTTAGAAAATAGACTGGCGTTTCCTTTCCTCCAAGAAAAGCCGAGCTTTAGCATGAATACTTGCCCAAAAATTGCATGCCGTCTTGTTAACTTCAGAACCAGGGAAAAATCTTAATGTTGATGGCTTGTCAGGAGATCCCCAGAGTCTGACATTCATCTGAGCCCTGGCTGAGGGAGTTTTAGTTATCTTGCTCCTTCTCAGCCCTATGGGCTGGTTCACTTTTGTGGGGGGCAGTGTGAACATGCACATATGAAGTCAGAGAAACACATCTATCACACTAAACTTAGTTACTGGCTGCTGTGCCACTTCCTGTTGGTGAAACCCAGACACTTGTAATTGGCTCCACTGACCAGACAAGGGACTCCATTCACCAGTGCTGTTTCCAACAGCTGCTAAATAACTGGGGTAACACAAACCCTAGCCTCGGCAGAAGGAGAATTCCTCACTCAGCGCCAACAGCTTTGCAGTTTCAGTCTGTGTCACTACATTTGTTTCTTCAAATCAAGCAGCGGTGTTTAGCCCTCATGTGTCTGAGTCCAGTATTAAGACAAGAATGTACTCACTGAAATAATATTTTTGGAAAATCCTTTTTGAGCTATGGCAGAATTAATAGAGCTTTGAAGGAAAATAAACTACAGTAAGACTGAGCTAGTTCAATACTCCTATTCTAAAAAGTAATCAAAGCTACAAAAAAGTCACTGTTTGGCTTGTTAGTAATAAAATCAGTTTTATTATAAAGAAGGATAACTGTAAATGAATACATTATTGTTATGTGGATCTGGACTGAAAATGCTTCTGTAATTTAGGAGGTTTGTGATGGATATTATTCCATAGATCTGATGTTTTTTGACTGAACAGTAAAAGGAAGTGTTTTAAAAATAATTAATTGAAAAGAGGTAAGACCAGCCAATATATTCAACTTGAAGGAATTTTACATAGCCAAGATACATACATCTGCTATTCTAGTGGTAGCATCTACTGTAAAGTTAGGCATTGATATTATTTCTTCTTTTTAGGAAGTACAAGTCTTCTTGATTATTAACATCAAAACTATAGAACATTTAAATGAAGTATGATAGGAAAAAAAAGTCCTGCCTCTTGGATTTAGCAGAACACTGAAGAATGTCAAAAGCAAGTCAGCTAGCTGACAACTGGGATTCTTCAGGCACGTAACAACTACCGTACTGGGCCACTTACAGCCCAGCATCCTGTCAATACCATTGCCAACTGAAGTTGCCCAAGGAAAGGGTAATGATGTTATTCCAAAATACTTTCCAAGCCTCCAGCACATTGCAGCTCAGGGTCTTTCTGAGCCAGACCTTGTGTGGCTGTACTTAAACTTCCTAGTAGCCTTCTTCCAATATCTTGCCCAGTTGTTGTCTGAAGTAATGCAAACTAAACTCATCACATAAACAGTATCCTGCTGCAATGTTACTAATAGCTCAAGTGCACATTACAGAATACAGAACAAACAGGCTCTCACTTGTTTTGAACATAGTATCAGCTAGTTTCATTTGATGATCCTCAGACTTTACAGTGGCAAATCCTGAACAAGGACTACCTGTTGGTGTTCTCCTTGCCACTTGTGATTCTTACAGGCCTTTATCTTATTCTACCTTAGCCACCTCTCCTCCAGGCTGAAGAGTTTCTTAGGCAGTCTGATGTTGTTGCGTTTGGTGGTCACCTTTTAACAGTCTTCCTTGGAGTTTTTTTCTAGCTCTACAATATACCTCTCCAGATAACCAGATCAGAATTACATACAGTATTCAAACCATAACTATGTACAGCAGCAGAACTACATATTTCTCTATTCCTAACACTCTGCTTTTTGAACTGTAATTCTAACGTCATGATACTGTCTTATTACAGCTCAAAGATTTATTTCTATTGCTGTACTAGTCAGCTCAGAGCTAAATATCTCATAGGCAAAACTAGAAATATTTTCCTGCGTACCACCTTTCACATGTTTACACTGAACCTTGTACCACTTCTTCAACCTGCAACCTCCAATTCTTCAGTAAACTTTTGTCTCTACTGTCTTTAACAGCCTAATATTATTAGCAACTTTACCACCTTGCTATTTGCTTTCTTCCTCTTCACATCATTTGTCATAGTCTGATAGCAGCTTTTAATTAAACAGGTGAATTAAAGAAAAGTTAGAGCTGAGTAGAAGACTATTTTCTTTATTCTTATTTGATAGCTGTTTCATTTATAGTACCTTTTCACTAAACAAAAGTATTAACGCATTCCAACAAGTTACATACTATAATCAGTGCTTAGTACGGTGTATGATCTGGTTAAGTCATCAGATACTGCTATTCTGTGGTGAGGAGCATTTAAAAAAAAGACAAAAAACTACTTTGCAACAGAAACCACGGAACTAGAAGACTGGTTAAAAAAAGTATAATTGGGAAAAATACTGCAGAGATGGGAAACTTGAATGTACCTGGATGCAAATAGAGCAGAAACATCCTGCAGATTATGGGTTTTTTTCTACTAATTTGTCTTTAGAGCAGTAAAGAAAAGCAAAGAAAGTACAACAGCATGGAAATGACTGACTTAATTCCCCAGAAACATCAGGCAAAATCTTTTGACCAGGTTAGACTGCCATTTCAAAAACCAGAAACAGCATGAAAAATGCTAGGCTTAACCTTAAATTAGGCTAGCAAGGACAGAATCTGTTTTATAAACTGTTGGAAGCACAAAACAGTGAAAAACTGCAAAACCCACACTTGCTGAACACCTGGTGCCCAGAGCAGACACAGGATGGGGTGATGATCTGGTGGTTTCTGTTGCCATGCCACTGAGGAGGAACGCGAAGCGAGGTGGAAGCCGCGCGGTCCGGTTCTTCTGCTTTTCGCACAACTGCTTTGCACGCCTGCTTGGAAGTTATACCAAGAAATGTTTGCTACAACTTGAGGAACAGTGGCTTGATCACAGTCCTGCACACACACACACACACCCCTCCACACACACTTGGCATCACAGTGGATAAACACTACCCTGAGTTCATACTCAAATCAGAAGGACAAGAATTTGCTACCAAATCGGAGGGACAGATTGATGGGTTTGTTCTCCTCACCCCATCCCCAGAAGGGATGCCTTTTGGTAAGATCTGTGACCTCTGCTATGCTGAGTGACTACCTGGGAAATGAAACTTATGATTGCAATTGGTTTTGGTTTTGTTTGTACAGCTATACAGCCATTCTGCAGTATAGGGCATTTATTGCTGGCAATTGCAAAGAATCTGTAGATATTGCATAAGAATAAACCATACTATTTGTGAACCTGACCACTTCTTTTGAATGCGATTGGACCTACGGCATGTGAGTTGTTCATGCATCGGATGTCAGACCTATAGTCATGGCAATAGCTGACCTACCTATTAAGAGATCCAGCCATCCCAAACCCTCTAAGCTTAAGGAACCGGCGAGAATGCAAGGGGATTCATCTCTTACCAAATTCATGACCTTAAATGCAACAATACATATATCATAAATGAGGTAGCTGCAAATCCAGATTTATCCAATTATTTGTCAAAAGACAAATCCCCACAAGAGCCAAGACCTGTTGCCAATTTACAATGCTAACCTGAACAACATTTGTTTCCTATAACACTGCAAACATGTCCTCCTTGTGCTGAGGAAACATGGAAGAGGAAAGTAGTTGCTGGATTTATCTAGGATTGTAAAGGGGTTTGAGGCAATCTTAACTAAATGAAATCCTATTTTATTGAATTGGTACCACAAAACCTTCTATTCACCTGGAATAAGAGGAGACAGACAATGTAAGCTATATTAAATATAGTGAGGCAGGCTTTTCAAGACTGTATTATGCACAGTAATTTAAAATCATGCCAAGATTAACAATGAGAGGGAAAGGGACTACTGCTGCCTTAGACTCCTCAAAATGCAGATGCTCTAGAAACAAAATATAGATAGGTGTTCTTTTGGACTGCTTCGATGATGTTCAGCTGAGTGCTACTTCCCTGATTTTAACCAAATCTAGTCCTCTTTTGTTCTGATTTTCATCGTGTTGCTTAGAGGTTTTTTGAACAGAAATGCAAAATGACAAAAAAAATATTCCCTTCTAAAACAGATCCAGCAACTAGAAAAAACAAGAAAATTATTTAATTTTGTTGCTTGCTTGCCTCACAATTACTTGACTAATTCTTCCTGTTCAGAGGGTGAAACAACAACTCAGTGTTTACATAGTCAGAGAATAAAACCCACTGCTAGTTATTTAAAGAGCTTCCTCCCACTTAATATTGTCATAGCTGTCTGAGACATCTCTCCTGCTGCCAGTATTTGTGGTGGTACAACTGGGATGCTCAGTGGATTGGTCAGTATACTGTCAGCTGTTTTTAACTGAAGGCTACTCTAGCTCTATTACTGCTTCTGCCTTTGGGTGCTACCTCCCCCAGTGTTTACTTTATTTACTATATATATTCTGAGGGAGGAAGGAAAAGGGAAAGGGCTGAAATTCCCAGTGGAAGGTCTAACATTGCGGTTCATTTAGTGGTTTGTTTCCTCTCCCTCTGTAAAATACTGCTTAGTTCTGCATCCATCTACAATATCAGCTTTTGTGGATTTTACTGTGGGTAGTAGCATACTTTTCTATAGAGCCAAGGAGTACAGCACATCACAAACTGAGAGGATGCACCAATATTACCTTGCCTCTTGTGGCACTGACAAGAGTTTTTACATCTGCACCAATGGTAGCAATGACAAGT